GACCGGTTGACCATCCCGGTTCAATTATAATGCGAAAAATTAATTGAGAATTACATTGGCATATATTGAATAAATAGAAGATTCTTCGAGAATTCTCTTGTGCTGCTTATTCTAATGATATACCAATTGGGATTGAATCCCTTGATTTCTGGAACGAATAAAAAGTGATAAATATATGGGCCCAGTCACCTGCCATGTGGATCGTTTACTATTATATGATTTTAATAGATGCATCTATTATATAGTCACATGTGTATTTGTTATCAACTTGCAGTTTGCCTTTTGCAAGATTGATTGCTCAAATTATTAGAGCACAGTTCCATAATATAAATTATGATGATTTATTTTGATAATGCGAGTTTAAATCCAAGTTGGTTTAGCAGAAATTGTATGCCTCCAATTATAGCTAAACTATTAGTTATGAGAACAAAATTTTCAAAATAAAATTTTGTATGTGATGTATTAGTTAATATACAGCAACACTTGTACGTATCTAGCCAAGTTATGATAAGTTCTCCCTATCACAATCGGTTCAGGGTCAGGAACCAAATAATTTCTATCTAAAATTATGAATGTGCTATATGATTTATTTGTTCTACCACAATACATAAAGATGGATCCCCAAATAAGGCTAGGGATATGTGTTGGTGATACCAACAATAGGGAGAGAAAATGGGCAGTTGAAAAAGTAATGTATGTAATGAATTATTATGAGTAGATCTAGATCCTCGTACGAAAAAATGTGAACTTGAAGTTCAAGTGATAATTCATTTGCAAAATATTGCCAGGCGTATTTGCTGACCCAAAGCTAAATGTCATATTCCAACTGCTAATGCTCCTAATAAAATAAAGTTCATAATGAATAGAGTCTATGGCATGCATGAAGCATAATAGACTAATCGGTTCAAAAGATAAAACTCTTTGAAGAAGGAGAGGAGCAAATGTTCAAGATGGTCATAATAAGGAGGCAAGTGCTCTAGAAGAGCACCACGACATAACACTTCATAAGACCTCATGGGAGAGGCTCATGTACCTGAAAATAATGAGATAAAGAGATCTTAATAAGTTATGTCTTTATTGGGTAATAATAGAACCGATATAAAATGATCGTCGACGATATTGTTAATATAATGTAGCGCTCAATATTATTAATATTGACGAGGATCTTGAGCTTAAATCTGTCATGAAATTTGGAAAGATAAATGATTGGCCAAATAAAAAATACACAATGAAAATTGATTTCACCTGAAAAATATGAAGTTGGACGGATAGTACCAATACTTGAAAGTTTAAAGTCAGTGGAGGTATAAATGTATTTTTATGCGGAAAAAAAAAGGTTAAGTCAATATACATAAAGACGACTTGTGTCACAAGAAGATTTGTAAATATCCTGGCACTAATTATATAGAGACATGTTCTCCTGTGGTGGATGTAGTCATTTCAGGTTTTAATCAGGCAATACATGAAAAACTTGATATGCGTATAATGAAAATCATTGAAGGATTTAAATTTTTCTGAAGCATATTAAGGTTTTCAAAAAATTTATTAAATAAAACTTCAAAAATTATTATACGGATTGAAATAATTAGGGCGCATGTGGTATAATCGTCCGAGTGAGTACCTGTTGAAAGAATGGTACAAGAATGATTCAATTTGTCATTGTGTCTTTATAAAAAGATCTGGATCTGAATTTGTTATAATCGATGTGTATGTTGATGATTTAAATATCATTGGAACTCCTGGGGAGCTTTCTAAAGCAGTGGACTGTTTAAAGAAATAATTCGAAATGAAAGATCTTGGAAAGACAAGATTTTATCTTGGTCTATAAATTGAGTATATGAAAGATGAAATTTTTATCCATCAATCAGCATACACTGAAAATATTTTAAAGCGATTCTATATGGATATATAAAGCACATCCATTGAGTACCCTGATGGTTGTGAGATCACTCGATATAAATAAAGATCCATTCTGACCTCATGAAAATAATGAAGAGTTTCTTGGTCCTGAAATACCATATCTTAGTACAATCGGTGCACTAATGTATCTTACTAACACTACAAGGCCCGATAAAACTTTTTCAGTTAATGTCTTAGCAAGATATAGCTCTCCTCCTACAATGAGACATTGGAATGGAATCAAACACATATTGCGGTATCTAAAAGGGACTATCGATATGGGCTTATTTTATGGCAATGATTGCAATTCCGATCTTGTTGGTTATGCCGATACTGGGTATTTATCTGACCCACACAAGGCTTGATCTCAAACAGGCTGTGTGTTTATATGTGGAGGCACTGTCATATCTTGGTGATCGACTAAGCAATTAATCGTGGTACTTCATCTAATCATGCTGAGATAATTGTCATTCATGAAGCAAGTCGAGAATGTATATGGTTGAGGTCTATAATACATCTTATTCGAGACAAATGTGGTTTGAAGTGTGACAAACTACCCACATTTTATATGAAGACAATACAATATGCATAGTCCAATTGAAGAGAGGATTCATAAAATGAGATAGCACAAGGCACATTTCACCAAAGTTATTTTTCACACATGATCTTCAAAAGAATGGCGATATCAATGTGCAACTGATTCGTTCAAGTAATAATATGGCTGATTTGTTCACCAAATCTCTACCAACGTTAACCTTCAAGAAACTAGTGTACAAGATTGGGATGCGAAGGCTCGGGGATATGAATTGAAGTTAATACGTGTTATACTCTTTTTTCCTTTCAAGGTTTTTTTCCCACGGGGTTTTCCTTGCAAGGTTTTTAACGAGGCAACCAAAAGGCGTATTTCTAAACATGTGTACTCTTTTTCCTTCACTGAGATTTTTTTTCCCATTGGATTTTTTCCTAATAAGGTTTTAACGAGGCACATTATCTATGGACATCCAAGGGGGAGTGTTATAAGAAAATTAAATTATGGTGGATGTCTACTCTTATCCATTATCTCCATAACTCCCAATACTCTAATAATTATGGAGTTATGATTGTAACTCCATAACCTCCTCCATGATCTTTCTCTCAAATAATTAATGACATGTTCAATGACATATTTTGCAATAGTGATTCTTCACTTTTCATGCCTATATAAAGGTCTTGTAATAGATAGGAAAATACACACAATTGAAGAAGAAATAAGAATCTCTCCTCTCTTTCTCTCTATATCTCTTAGCTTATTTTTCTTTGTTCTATATTGTTACTTTGAGCTATATTTCATAACATTTTCGATATCAATTTCAAAATATTCCTTTTTTTTCAAACAGCAACCGAATATCGTCTTCAAGTTTTTCTTAACAAATAAAACTGTCTTCAAGGACTATTCTTTGAAATTGTTGCTCATGGTGTTTCCCAAAAAATCTTCTTCCACTTATAAAATACTAACAGATCTTTTAAAGTGAAGAAACTATAATTGTCCTACTATGAGCTGCCATTGGTTTTTGGAGGAAAGGAGCAATCTCTTGATCAAGTTTGTGTTCTTCACTGTCACCTTTATCTTTAGTCCATTAGAGATCAATCTGGTCAACAATGCAATTGAAGATATTGGATAAGGGAGGAGGCATTATTTTTACTCCTATTCCTATTAAAGAAAAATTAGGTAATATGTGAGGTGGGACAAAATCATTTTGGATTTTTAAACTTTTTGACGTGTCAATCGATCATTAGAAACAAACATGTCTCTTTCGTCTCACATCATGCTGCTTCATTTAACAAATTAATCAATGTCGTTTCAGGTGTCAATTCTCGCCAAATAAAGTATCCCGACCAGGATGAAAATGTCTTCTAATCTACTCTATAAAAAAGGTATTACCAAGTTGAATATTCTATCATAACTTCGAAATTGATTGAGGACCGGACATTAACTCACGAACATCTTAATTCTTAGTGGGTAACAGTGTATAAAGGACATTTGTAAAGGAAGGGAATGGATAAACACAACGGATGAAAAAAAAATCCAATTAATACAGCATTCTGACCTCTTAAAATGAACTAAAGAATTAGCATAGGAAAATTCTACAATAGAATTGTTTAAACATGTAGATTGCTTTTTGTATAAATCTTAAATATGAGACTCACTTCACTTACGGATTCTTTACTAGTTGCTAGAGCGATCGAAGTCAATCAAAATTCGATGTTTTTGAGTTCCAAGACGTCAGGTTTTCATTGAAGAAAATTGTAATAATGCATAGATGCATAAATCTTATTATACCACTCCTACTAAACAAGCCAATATTAGCTGAGAGAAACGAGCAGCACCTTGTATAAATTGGGCAGAGCTTAAATAAGCAAGCTCTTATCGGTGAAAGCCATTTTGCATTAGCCTATGTAGCTAACATTTTTCAGCTAGTTGCTAAATTAGTTGTGCGCCTACCCCCTCCTCACTTTGGAAAGACTTTTAGATCAGAGAGAGTACATACATCGCTTTTAAAATATGATGATTTGATCGAAAGAGTACATACATCGCTGTAAAAGATTTACAGGTAATGCCATTACCCATTAAATCAGTTGAATCGCTACCCTTTCATTTACCCTATCTGTTTTTTCTCACCCCCAACACATTCCTATTATGGTATTTCGAGAGAATAGAACTTGGAAGCCTCACAACAGATAAATGATTAGTTGTGGATTGGCACAGGGTACTGCAAACTGCAATCATACAGACAAATCATAGTTGAAGTGTTAAAATGATGTACTTTTACTATGTTGTAGAATGTGTTTTTGATCAATGGAACGTATTCCAATATACTGGTATGCCAGCAATACAGCTCCACTACAGCCATTCAACGAGGCTTGAAGCGCTCGTGCCACAGCTTAGCACCAGCTAGTAAACTTGGAAAATATGGTATACTGCAATCGAACAGGCTGTTATGACTTATGAATTGCTTTCTGTTCTTTCCCAAAATCAAAGAAAACATTTTTCAACGGGTTCAGTTAATAAAAAGACTTTGAAATATGCTCCTCTCTGACAAGGTATAATCTGGGAATGCAAATAACTGAAGCAACTATCACTGTCTATATCACAACCTTAAAACCATAATATTGATCCTTCATACAAAGGCAAAAGTAGACTTAACAACCCGAGCATCAAAACATAACATAACTAGATAATCATGGCATAGTATCAGTTTTGCAAGTAACAAGAAAAAACACCTACTACAGATATTAAACTTTCACCAATTACGCTATTATGATGAAATGCTATATAGTGCTACCAACTAGAAAAACATGGAGAACAGCCTCTTCAGCAATCTTCGTCTAACTCTGAACAAGGCCCTGTACACCCAAAAACAAACAGAATTTTAAGTAACTTAATTTTTTGACAGGTTGATGAGCAAGCAGAATCTATAAGTAACATATACAGCAAGTATAACACACTGAAGAAAAAGAGAAGTGGCATACCTAGTCAACAGCCAGGTATGATCAACAATCTCCAGAGGCAGAAAGGAACTTTTAGCAGAGAAACAAGTGGAACAACCACTTAGGAGACCCTTATTAGACTTCACAAGAGGAAAGCTCAATAGGCAACTTACCTAAGAGCAGGAGAAGAAAAGGATATAACTAACTTTTACGTCCCACTTACCAATTTTCATTCCAAAAAACAGAAAATGGTGAAGGGGAAAACACAACTTAGAGAAGGGAAAGTATGAGTTAGATCCTATTCAAGGTTAAGGAAAACAAATGACAAGGAACACAGATGAAACGAACGCTGACCAGCCAATTCAGGCATCATGGATTTGTAAGGAATAAGGGGGTACCTAATACTCCATACAGTAGAAGATTTTGATATTGAATTGCCCAGTAATAGAGGGAAGGATTCTAAATTCAAGATCAGAGAGCCAAGAATTTAGTCAGTGTATAAAACAAAAGTCTGAAAGAAAGCTGTCCACCTAACCTGATCAGAGCCCTAGTATATGTACAATCTGTTTGACAAACTAAAGCTAACTGATTATGAAGAGACGACGAGGAATGAACAATCTATTGAGAAAAGTATAATCAAGAACGAGAATTCGATATCACACGTAATGTGATCAGCCAGAGCATTAAAGATAATTGAGCAACCAGTTCTGAAGGCTCAGCAAGGAAACTGCCAAATATACCAAAACTACCGCAATACCAAGATTCTTCTGTCCATTGACCTCTCCACAAACACGCCTCCATGTTGTTGCACCACTACTGAATTTAACCCCTGTCTGCTTATAAGACTAATCAGCTTTGAATCTACCAAGAAATGTTGATCAACCTGCCATTGTTCATCTCATACAACCTAAACCACCAAAAGACTATAACAACTATTGTAGCCCATCCACCATTGAACCAAAGCTGCTCTCCAGTTCCACCACAACAAAAGCTAAGCAACTAACACCAAGTCAAGCTAAAGACTGATTCATTATTCACCTATATACAATCTACTTAAAAACCAACTTGCAAACTAGATAACTGCCTTATTTATAAGTTCTTCACTAACCCCTCATCACACACTCATCAATCTATATTTCAAGATTGAGAATGCGACGAAGAGTCTGTGTCGCAGAGTCAGTAGTATCAAATAAAATGCCCGGAGATGGGCTGCGCTCACGGGTCGGAGAAGCAGGTGCAGATTTAGCCAAGGGATGCAAATCAATATCAGAGGGTGAAACAGGCAAGTCAAGAGACACAGTCCTTTTAGGCTTGAGAGAAAATTTGGGCATAGGCAAAGAACTAGGGGGAGGTGAGTTTGAGTAAGCTGGTCCAGCCCAAAGTTCAGAGTAAGCAAATTCATCATTCAAAGACTCAAATTTTCTAGATTCAGCACCAACTTTAATGTTAATTGGTATTGAAATTGCACTACTTGGGGTTGATTTTTTTGGTGTGGAGTAGGATATTAATGGGGTAGGAAGTATACCGGCACCTGAATCAAAAGTCCGGCAATTAATCTCCTTAAAACCAACAGAAGGAGGTGAACCAAAATGCCCAAATCGAGCATGGGATTGAACCCTAGTAGTTCTATCATAGTACTGATTCTTATGCTGAGAAACAATAACAAGTGTCTCCATTTCTGAATTAAACAACCGATTCAACCTCACTACTTTATCCCAAAAACCTGAAGATCTAGTACAACAGTGTCAATGCTTCCTCGCACATATACTTGTACGTATACCTATCAACAATCACCACTTCACTCTTCAGTTTCTTCAGATCTATCAGCAGGAACAAAAACAAAATTCAGAAAATTCAAAATAATCACAAGAAAAATGACTAACCCGAAAGCTAAAAAGAAAAACCCATTAGAAAAAAAGTTCATACGAAATCAGTTACTAAGAAAATACTAAACGAGATTTACCTGATAAGCCCAGAAAATGTACAGTGATTGAACCCTGAGGTTCTAATTTGTGTGAAATTTATCTTAAGCGCTAAGCTAGATCTATATTTACTCTTTGTATGTTAAGAAGATATTTGGTCAGTACTATTTGGTATGGGAGCTTGTGCTCTTTGCCTCTTCGTTTATCACAACATTGGAAGTTCAGCCACTGAGCTTTTTGATACGTTAGTAGAATCTCCGGATTCGAAATGTCCATTAGTCGTATTTTAAATTTCAGCACAGGTCCGACAAGACTATTACAGAATTAGCCTCATAGATGGGTTGAATAACAAAATGCCACTACACTTATATTTGCATCTTATATTCCAATATTTTGACTATAAAATACTATATGGAGCTGGAATGGCATGATTCTGAATAGGATAGAGAATATTAAAACCTATGCATTGTTAGTTCAACTATATATTTTTCATGATTGAATTAGTTCGCCAAACAACAATTTTTTTAGGGTGGTATTGAGTCGATTTTTGCACACTTCAGTTATTCTGTCGGGTATTTGTTACTTGATATCAACGTAGATTTCAAATCACTTTGTCATTAAACTACAGTTCTACGTAGACAATTAATTTGATATTTTAGCTAATTAAATTATTCTTGCAAGGAAATATATAATATATCCATTCAATTTACTGTTCTTGATCTATGTCTCGTGACAATATTTTTATAGTTCTTAAATGAAATTACAAAATGTTGAAATAGTTGAATACTTCCACGTAACTTTTCTGAGCAGTGCACTCAAAACTTAAAACCAGTGAAAATACCATAACACCTACTCCTATTTTATTTTTATATAAGTACGTATATAATTTAAGTTATTCAACAATTTATGTCAGTTGAACCACAAAAGATAAGATAGCAATTACATTCACTGTTCATATGCATCATTTAATCTGTCAATGAAGTTTCATGGTTATACAGAGAGTGGTAAACACACAAATTCATATCATAAGAAGATTGATGATCCAATTCTAGCTATATATTATATATATGGGGACACAAATTTATGGTCATTACAAATATCCTCTTAGTTATATATATTTTGGGAGACAGCTTAAAAAAAAATAATTCAAACGGTAACTTATTATATGAAATTATTTATTTATACTATATAAGTATATATTATTAAGATGATCGGTAGTGAAATGGAGGTGGTGGATAATTTAGTAAATGGAGACAAGTTGAAGAGGAGGAACCCAATATTTAGGCCCCAACGGCTGAAAATCAGAAGCCACTGATTACAAGTGGCCGAAAGATGGGGGCCATGACAAGGTCATGAGTTGGTTCTACGCATGTGGCATGAATAAATAAAGTAAAGATAAAGATGAAAGAGTGGAAAAAGAAAGGAATACTGTAGTTGTTTTGGAATAAATATATGTAGAGCTGTGTGGGGCTTCTTACATGCACAAGTGTCGGTTTAATAGGGGGTGATGGAAAAGTGAGCCAAGTCTTTGCTTTGTCATTTGGGGTTCTTTTCTTTCAGGGTTTACAAAGGAATTTGAGACATTTTGATGTCAAAGCCTTCACTTAACCTTAATCTATGAGCTAATTCATAAATACTCTCATTATCTGCTTTCAACTTTCAATTACACACTTAAACTTTGAAAATAGTTTATTACTTTCTCTAAATTATAAGTATTATTATTTTGAAATATCGAAGGTATGTCGGAAACAGTATCTCTAACCTTCATAAGCTAAAAGTAAGATCTGTATGTACACTATTGTCACGCCCCAAACTCGGGGAGCGTGACCGACGCTCAACCGAGTAAACCCAGTTGAACAAACCTGTTAGATTTTATTCTACCCAAACTCATTCATGAAATAATAGGAGATGTACTCCATTAATCAAACACTGAAAAGATTTCATTAACAACATCCTTTTTCATTCCCATTAGCAGCTTCCTTCATAATTTTCAAAATATTATGACTTTATAGAATTAATGAAAAATATGATTTTCAAATACCAACATATCTAGTTCAGTTTCCAACATCAACCACAACCCACAATCTGTCTACGGAGCCTCTAAATACAATAGAAGAGTAATATGAAAATGCCGGCAAAAAGGCTCCGGCTATACCTCAAAACACAGTACATGAGAAACAAAAGATACATGACCCCGAAATAAAGTGGGGCTCACCAAATCAGCTGAAAAGAGTGTACTGCTATCACCGATCAATGTCGTCTGCTGTAAAACCACCTGCATCCATTAAAGATGCAGCGCCCCCGACAAAAGGGACGTTAGTACTGTCGAATAGCACTAGTATGTATAACTAAAAATTCTCTTTCAAAATAGAATGTCCATATAAGAAAAGGCAACACATAGAAACAACAAGTCACAATCAACAATATCCAAACGTCGATAATAATTTTCAAAATACAAACTTCATATATAATTTTGGTTGGGAGATCATTAGCACCGATATACCACCGTCTTTGTTAGCACGGAGTCTGATCACGCCCGATCGGCTAGGCCATCTCCCCACGAACAATGTAGTTTGACATGTGATGCGAAAGAAAATTGTTACCAAGAGTAGTACAACCATATGCCAATATGGCGTCTGATCCCCACCTGATCAGATAGGCCGCCTTCCCACATATGCCGTGCGGGTTGACTTTTCCAATCCACAAAGATTTCAGTTTCATCCCAATTAAGGGGAGTAATATCACAATTTTCCAAAGGTTTCAATTTCATACCAAATAAGGGGAATAATCACAATCCACCCCTACACCGGCACGTGTAGTTTCAGGTATGGGTCTTATGACCCACCCTTCCTCGGTTTTGCTAATGATGCTCCCAAAAATATTTTGATTTGATTTGCAAATAGAAATATCATAAATACAATTGTACTCACCTCAACATCTTTCACATCGTATACATTCTCATTAGTATTTCAGTCATTCACAACGACAATATTTTCGTAGCTCATTGGGCCATTCACAAGATTCTTTATTCCTGGCACGATGGCCGTATTTCATATTCCACACTTTCACCTCTTTCAATTTCAAAGATCACCATCAAGTATCAACATATAGGATATTTCAGAAATCATATACTTCAAATCTATCTGAAATGGAAACTTCAAACACAAATGGTTTCTTCCCAAAGAATGAAGCATACCATCCAACAATAGAAACACGCATGAAAATCATAAATAATCAATACATCATTTATTCTTACAATGCTCTTCCCTAGCAATGACAATGTACCAGTTCAACACATGAGTATATAGAATTCGAATCACACTAGATATATTTATAAAGCAAAGCGTTAGTTAAAGCAACCACTAATGGGCATGAATTGAGTACAAAAGCTTTTAGGTAATTCTATCTTCGAAGTCATTTTTAAACAATTGAGTCGAGGCTCATTTCATATTCTTTATCGCATCTTCTCAAATCATTTGCACTACTAGACACAATCATAACTTAAATTCTTGGCACGTTGGCCACACTCTATATCCCCAATTAACTTATTTCACTTCCAACCATCTTTATAGATTATCAACAATAAGACATTTCCAAATCAAGACTTTAGGTACACATATGAGCAATTAAGAGTCTTAAGAATATTGAGATTTTCTCACACAATTTGGCATACTATCTTTCATTGAAACACGACTCAAAGCCATAACCTTTTAATACGCAACCCATACTTTGAAAATTATGGAAACATTATGGAATTCAATTCCAAGAGAGAAAGTTTAGCCAACATACCTTGCTTTCAGCTTTCCTTAAATTACCATTAGGGTTTTCTCTCTCTCTAAAATACTCGCCCTTCTCTCTAAAACATCAGAATATTTGCTCAAAAATAACCATTTGCGTGTATTTAACGAAGTAGGGTCGGGTTGTAAGAACCCAAAAATGGAGCTCCGGAACAGATTCTGCGGTCGCATATCGGTCGCATAATTACAGACCAAAACGATTAAAAATCTGTCAGTATATGCGGGCACTATGCGGTCCACATAACTATTATGCGATCGCATAATGCACCGCATAATAGTTATGCAGTCGCATAGTCGACCGCATAATTACCCCCAGACTGGCCCTTCTCCTGCTCACTTATGCGGCCATTATGCGGCCCGCAAAGTAATTATGCGGTCGCATAATGGACCGCATAAACGCGCTTTCCCGCCAAAAAATTTTCTTTACTTTTCGGTGCATTGCTCAACCCAAAAAGTCCGAATCGCGCCTCGCAAATTCGCCGCAAAGATTTTATACCATCCTCAAACATGTAAACCTACTCTGGCACCACGAAACCTTGAATTCACTTGCAAAATTTACGAGATTTTACACTGAAATACTTCAAAATTTTCCAGGGTGTTACAACTACCCTCCTCGAACGTCATTTGTGAAATATATTGAATTTATTATTGTTGTTGTATTAATTTGAGACACCAACTTATATAGAGAATGTATTTACCTTTGAGAAGCAAAAAAGAAGTTAACATAAAGATAAATTTTTATACATTTTTATAAATTTATAAAAATTTATCTTTATTAATTTTTAAATAAAAATAAATTTTATACATTCATATGTTAAAAATCAAACAGTTTTAATCATTTAGTATCCAGATTTGAATACACATCTTACTATTCAGATGTGTATTCAGATTTATATGTCTTAATCTTTATTAGCATCTTGATATTCAGATGTGTATTCAAATTTAAATATTTTAATCTTTAAAAAAAAAAACAAATGAGGCAAGATTTCTTTCATTTGCCCCGTGGAAAAAGATGGGAATTTAAATAATGCAGGTTTTGATTTTTTTTTTTTTTTTTTTTTTTTTTTTTNTAAGGAGAGTTAATGACACGTGGCAACGTGTGCATACACTCTCTTATTTTTTATCTTTGTATATTACTTTACTAATAATGGTGGTGGAAGATATATAGTTTAAACAAGCATGAAGGTAATACGTCTCATAAGTGTGTGATTAAAATTTTGAAATTATTATCACTAAACTATCATTCAAAGGTTTACTAAAAAGGGAGGAAGTTGTCAACAACCTATAAAATGAAATTTCAACATATTAACAAAGAATTCACAGTCTAATTGGGTCAATTGTACATTTTTAATTCTGTCTAATCTTTTAAGCTATCATCTTAAACAAATTTTGAGGCTAGTGGCCTTGGCCTTGATAACAACTCAAGACATTTTTTATATTTTCTCACAAGACCATGTAATGGCCTGTTTGGCCAAGCTTCTCAAGAGGCTAATTTATTTTTATTTTTTTAAAGTATTTTTTTTCTATCTTGAGGTATTTGACCAAGCTTTTTTGAGAAAAAAATACTTTTAAAAAGAAATAGAAGCAATTTCTGATAAGCAGAAAAAAGTAGTTTCTTCCCGAAAACAGAAGTAGAAGTAATTTTGACTTTTCTTCTTACCAAAAATACCCTTGATAAAATATGGTAAATACCAAAATAACCGTTAAACCGAATACTTAGGATATTAATGTATAAATATTTCTTACTATTTTTAGGATAACTTTATATATAGTGACGGTAGGGGTGAATGCTTTTATATTTGTTGAATGATTTTTATATATTTAACTTATATTAAAAAAATTAAGTACTTTTAAATTTTATTTTCACATTTTACTTAAATAAAAGAAAAAATTTAATTATTACCTGTAATAATAAATTTTTAAGATTATTTATTTACTTATAATATTAACTATTAAGTAAATCTATTTATGTTCTTTTGAGTAATTTGATACCTAAAAGCACTTTCTGAAAAGTTTGGCCAAACACAAATTATTGTTCAAAAGTACTTTTCAGAGTGATTAGTCAAAAATAAATTGTTTCTCTCCAACAATACTTTTTTCAAAAATATTTTTGAAAAAAATACATCTCAAAATAAGTTGATTTCTCCGGTTTGGCCAAACACGCTATAAATCTACTTTCTTTTTGCCCTCTGATGTCCTTTCGTTTCTCATTCAAATCACTTTTTCTTGCCGAAAGGGATATCCCCAATTGAACACTATGTTCATGCCAAAGGGATGCCCATTTCTCAAACTTGTTCCTAAAAGTCATATCATGAGCTGTTGACTAGGCCACTGATTTTTGTTTTATTTAATTACTCATAGAGAATCCATGTTGTGTTGTTAACTTCTGCAGTCCGAATTTTTTTGTTTAATTAACTGTGGTATTCGCCGCTCACTCATTCAAAGCTAACGGATAATGAACTTAAGGCTCATTTGAAAGAAAATACTTCTTACCATAATTATCCATTTTCAGAATTAATAAAATTGAGTCTCGTTATCATCTAATCCATATATCATCTCGCTAACAAAATTGGAGCTAGGACCATTTCTGTAATCATCTATTCTCTGTTAATAGTAGCGAACTGTCTCAATCTTCAACAGAAATAATCTGTTTTATGTGTTTAGATAGTAATTTTCGGAAAACAATCTTTCAGCTGCTTTTTTCTTTTTATGAACAAATAATTACTGATATTATGTCTCTTGTTGCACACTTCTGGCCCATAATCCCATACTGAGCCACACGGGTTCACAACAATACCTCAAACCTCAAAAAGAATCTTGTCCTCAAGGTTCGAGTAAAACAGAAAATGCAGCAATATCTGCTTGACCTTGTCAACAGCAAACAGTAAATGCAAAGCAAAAGTAGGATAGTTGGTTTTCTCTTCCCATAGTTCCGCCTGACATCTAGGTAGTAGAAGCATAACAGTACAACAATTAGCATCACCATCTGGCCGCAATGAGATCAATCTAGCTAAGTGTGAAGTTGCACCACGTATTTGGTCTTGGAGTAAAAACAATGTTATCCAATCAAAGGAGTCCTCAAACTTCAAAACACTAGCCTGCATGAGTTGCTGGACTTTAGCTTCTGAAAGTTTTGAAGCAAGCCGAGCCAATCTAGATTTTATTCTTTCATAAGTGATTGTTCCACTATTGTTTGTATCCATGCTCACGAACACATATTTTAGATACTTGATTTCTTCTTCTGAAAAATCTGCTGCAATGACCTTTATTGCTGGTTTTATGAGATTGCCTATTACCCTGAACTGCTTCAGTTTGGACAACACTACATGGTCTATTGGCTTGTCTGATGCTTCCTCCCATTGAAGCCATGGTTGTTCAATAACTTTTTCTGAAATACTTCTCTGTTTCGTATCCTCTGGAAGCATTGTTGGAACTAGGGCCGTTGCATTATTTGTTATAGATGGCCATGGACTAAGGAGAAAGTCATTTACTCCATCGATGAAGATATGAAATCCAAAATTAGTTTCTTGCATTGCATATTCATCCTTGCTAACCAACAGGGAACTCTCTAGCTTAAGCTCCTTATGCATAACAACCATGAAATGGCCATTGTGGACTACATTTGGAAGCTGTCTAAAACTATCAGCAGGATCTTTCTCTAACGAACATCCTCGGGTGATGGTTCCATCAAACAACTTCCCTCCATCACACAGTACCATCAGAAGGTGCATATAACACTTGTCCTAATAAAATGATGTAGGTAAAGTAGTCGAGCGATTCAGTACTATGCAATTCAGAAATAAACACTGAAAATTCTGTCGCAAAGACTGCTTAATGATTAACACGAACTCTTTCAACCAAATTGGGTTGCAAACTCAACCAACAAGATATCATCAGGAACATATGTCTCAATATCAGGGACCTCATTAGCCAATATGAACTTTTTATCACGTGGCAGAACAGACACGCGGTTAAGAAAAAGAATCACCCATGACTCCTTATGTGAAATTGGACTTAGCAGAAGACTATTTAGAACCCTTTGAGGAATGTTGTCAAATACTAAGACTACAATGGTTCATGATTTTTCCTCCTCCACAATAGTAGTTCCACTTTGGGTTTCCATTCTAATTGAAACAAAAGGAAAGCACTAAGAAATTAAAATTACTGAGTGAACTTTCTATCAAGTCAGTAGCTATCTCAAAATTATCCACAAAGCCAAATACACCAGAATGTAGTGTAATGGGCAAGTACCGTGATTTATCTAACTGTACATTCATGTGCTCAAATAAAATGTGTGGAGGAACAGACTCACCGGGATCAAATGGAAGGTATATAGATATATGCTCATGAATCAATCTGATTTCCTCCAAAATCAAGAGGCCATTCCTATCCTCGGGTGATTCGACCACTTCATTATCAACCAAAGCTTGACCGGCATGGTACGAAAAATTATCAAACGCCTGACTCACATCAGTTCTAGAGTGCTTGTCATCTTCATATGTAACTATGCTACCTTCCCCATTGCCAATGATAAAACGAAGTCTATAGGCAGGGATAATGAGATGGGTATTTCCACAATCTTCACTCTCCGACTCCCGCTCTTTGCTGAGAACAGGACAAATAATCTCAAAGTCATCTGCCATAGGTGAGAACTCTTGAAAAGTTTGCCCAGCTCCTTGAGAAAAATCATCAAACACCTCGCCTTCGCGTGTTGCTTAGGATCCCTTAATTGGATCGATACTTGCCGAAACTAGATCTTCAGAAACATGTGTAGATTGCATAAGAGAAGCACTTACCTCATCTTTGTGAGAGCTTTCATCAAACACCTGGACATTATCTGAGTTTCCATTATTTGAATCAGATTCCATTGCATCAGTAAGGAGTAAGGACGTTAACATCTGATCTCTCTGTAGCAAACACCTTGGAACAACAGCAACCATGTGACATATTGTCGAACACCTGTGCTTCAATTTCTGTAGAATATTCCTTGATTGTAGCCATGCGACCTTCTGGTAATGCGAGATGTTGTTTACGAAAACGAATTCGCATATTTGCAGCAAAGTGTTCCCAATCCGTCAATTGCTTGTTCTGGAGAAGCCAACGGAATCACTCCAATGCCTCACCGTCTAGGTAAATAGATGCGCGTAATAATTTGTTATTTTCCGATGTGCCATAGAATTCAAAGTAGTGTTCGCCTGAGAAATCCATAACTCTGGATCCTCGCCACTAAATCGTGGGAATTCCACCAGAGTAGACTTACTCGTTATAAGATTTTCAATCAACTCATGTAACAGTGAATGAATTTCAGCGATATCCTCCGACCACGAATCCTCACGCCCTTAATTGAATCATCGATAGTTTGAAATATTTGGTCTTCCATTGAATACCACCGGATGATTGCCCCAATGAAACAAATTGGATATTACACCCAAACCAACTGATTATATTAACTCATTAAACATAATTACAATAACCAAATATCAATAGAACAGTAGAAAATAACACTAAAGGAAATAAAGAGTAAATGAGAAGAGTAATTGCAACCTAAAGCTAAGAAGAAAGGGATGAGAGACAGACTAGCATAGGAGATGAGAAGAACAGACTAAGCCGAGGCTTCAACATAATTGGCATCCCTGTATTCCCCCCACAACAAATATAATGTCCTAGCATTCTATTCAGTTGTTTAGTCATTGAGCCTTTTCTCAATTTAGCTCCAGGCTCAATACTCCCAACTGGATCAGCTTTGTTGCACACTTCTGGCCCATAATCTGTAACAACTCCAAAATACATATTATATTGATGGTAGTATCTAACGATTACAGCTCAATGAAGTAGAACAACAGTAATGACAATACAAAATGTAGAAGCTAAGTAAGATAGAATAGAACCAAAGAAGGGCATGAGAAGCTAGACTCATAATTGGGGAGGAGAGGACTCAGGCATTTTTCTCAACAGTATTCACATCACCTCAAATCACGGACCATTGTCTAATTACACGCATATGACTCAACCTGGATCCCAAATTAACCTGGCACTATTGCTTGTACTCGACCCAATAGTTCTTTTCAACCCAATAGCTACTTGTATGAGATTGGGCTGGTGCCGGTTCATAACAATACTCCCATCCTCAATAAGAACCTTGTCCTCAAGGTTCGAGTCAAGAATAGTGATGCTCGCAAGCTCCCAACCAATTATCTCAAAACCATGGCATGCTTTATGATTTGAGGAAAATATATGATATGATACACCTGTTATGAGCCGATTAAAACTTTGGTAATTGTGGCTCTTAATAGATAGTACCAGATGTATTAACTGAAATGCCATCATAACCTGCCATGTAACTTTACATGTCTTTGCTTGCCCTCTTAGCCGTAAGCTAAATGAGAGAACCAAGACAAACATTCTAGTAGTGAACCTCCACAAAAGCATGAACTCGATGAAATGGAAACTGACTTTTTGCGGCACTTGAAACTCTTCCACCAAGTTGTAGTAAACTTCCCAATCAGTCCAAGCATTTAACAGTATTGAATTATAAGAAGAGGATAACCATGGATTACCACCCAATGTAATGCATACGTAAGAAAACATCCTCAGATAGCTTATCAAAATGGTGATAATATTTGCAATGCCCCTTGTTGTCCATTCTTCTTCAGCATCATTTCCTGATGAAAAGGAAAAAACAATTGTGTTAGCTTGCATTAATAGAAAGGAGTCCGCAGTGAAATCTGTCGTGGTCGCAGTAGAGTCATTTTCTTCTTTGCCAAGAGAAATATTCACACGATACGCCACAATATAAGGAATAGCCTCGGATAACTGGATGCCGAAAACTCCATCAAGAGTATTGTTAGGATCAAAAGGAATTTGGAAAGCTCTACAATACAGACAACACCCCTTAATATATTCAGACCCAACGCTAGAGTTATCCACCTTGAAGTTCTGATAAACAGTATTAGAAGCTCGCTCTCCACCAAATCTCTCGATTGCACCTGCTACGAGATGCGTCTTCATGTGATGTTGGGTGATGTCATAATATTCTATAGTGAAGTCTTTCACTAATCTAACCAGCACAATAGTGGAAACAACCAGTCCACTTGAAAGTTGTAAACTTCATTCATGACACCACATGGAACCTTCAAATCAATGTTTATTAATAGTACATTCCACCTCCTTCCATGTGTCATAAAAGATTAGGATAGAAGAAACAAAAGCCAACCTGATAATAGTCCTAAAAGAGATGCTACACACATGCATATGTCCAAGTTTCCTAAGAGTTCCATCATTAATAGCATAATTAGAATCTAGACCACCAATAACAACTTCTATTAGAATATTTTTGCCTACACTCTTTGTTGTTGCCCTTTTATATGCATCAACATTATAACTCCACTGAATTGTCAAGAGTGTAATGCAGGAGGTCCCCAAGGCTGATCGCTTGAATCCATTAGGCTTTAAATTGCCCAAAGCATCACAAAATACACAATTTCTTGTGAGTATAAGAGATGTGGTAACCAAACTAGTTCCAGGGTCAAATGGAAAATCTATTCCAAATTGATCAAGGAAAAATTGATGCGAAGTTATAAGAAGTGCAACATGACCAGGTGCATTGTAGGAGTCGAATGTACTTCTGTTTATAAACTGGTCACAATTGCTAGCGGAAAGAGTACGAGGAAACTCCTCCAAGCGTTGAGCAAGCTCGAGTCCATGTTGAGGGTAGACCTTTTTGGAGTGTCCAGCAAATAATTGATACCGACAATCATCTAAAACTTTGTGAATATCAAACATGGCTAGGTCATAGGGAATAGAGAATGTTGAATTAATCCTTAATGAAGGCTTCTTTATAATTGCAGCAACACACTGTAGAGGTTCATCTCTAATGACAACAGTTTCATTAAACCATAACATCAACGTGAAAGTTAAAGCATGATATAACTCACTTAGCTCAAGAGCCTTTCTACTCAGAAAAGACCTCATCTGATCAATAAGGTATTGCTCCTCAATTTGAGTAGTAGCATCATCAACATAACATACAAATGGATTTGCTATAGGCTCTCCCCGTAGCTTGTACATTGCATAAGACTTTATATCACCATCACTGTGTTCAATACCCAGTTCAACTCTACCTGAAGAAACCTTAAATTCCTTCCCCGTGTCGAACCACTTGTCCATATAACCACAAATTGGTAAGCCAATATCTCTTGCATTATTGCTATGCTCTGAATATATATATGACAGTCCTTTTGTCGTTTTGCAGTCAATAACAGTGAATCATGTTGCCCAGTAGCAACCCAATTGCATTTGTGTAAGTCAAAATCATAATGAAGCCATAATATCTTTTGAATCGTCCCAACAATTGGATATGCTATTCCAACAAATCTCCCAATAGCATTTGACATGACAAATCCTTGACTAGCAAAAGGAATCTGATAACCTATTTTATCCCCTAGAGGAGAATTTTCAAACTCCCGAGCTACATTGTTTAGTGCGTTTCCCTCGGTGGCATTGTCGAATGCTGCAGCAGTCACCTCGGTTTGCAAGGTCTCACAGCTAGACTGGAGTAAGCTATCATTCTCGCAAAAATTGCCATTGATCACCTTGTCAATGGCCGTGGTTGAATTTTCTTCATCAGCGACACGAATCGGGGGATCCGGAATGCTTACGCTAGCTGTTGTAATGAAAGAGTTGTCATCTACTGATTGTCTAGTTTCAAAAGTGGATACCGACTCAGATTTGTTTATGTGAGAGCTTCTATCAAACACATGGACCTCCTCTGATTTTGCAATGTTTAAAGTTGATGTTGTTGTATCAGTAAGGACTTTAACCTCTGATTTCTCAGTGTCAAACACCTTGGAACAACAGCCATGTGATATTTTGTCGAACACCTGGGCTTCGATCTATGTGGAATATTCCTTAATTGCATCCAAATGACCTTTCGGCGGCTCGAGACGCCGTTTACGAAAGCGAATCAACACTTTCTCAGTAAAATGATCCCAATCCGCCAATTGTTTGTTCTGGGAAAGCCATTGGCACCACTTCAAAGCTTCTCCATCGAGATAGGACGAGGCGAGAAGTAAATTGTTGTTTTCTGAAATTCCATAGAATTTAAAGTATCGTTCAACATGAGAAATCCATAATTTTGGATTCTCGCCACAGAATCGTCGGAATTCCAGCCTAGTAGGCTTACTCGTTTCAACATTTCCCACCAACTCATGTAACAGTGAACGGATATCAGCCATCATGACCTTAATTAGATCGTCAATTCGACATATTTGGTCCTCCATTGAAACCTCTCAATGAAAGCACCAATGTAACAATTCTAAATACGGATTATATTGATGTTAGTATCTAATGATTACAACTCAACTAAGTAGAACAATGATAATGGAAATACAAAATATAAAAGCTAAGTAAGATAGAATAGAACCAAAGAAGGGGATGAGAAGCTAGACTCAGAATTTGGGAGAAGAGGACTAAGACATTTTTTCCAACAGTAATCCCATCACCCCAAATCACGGTTCATTGTCCCTTATAATTACACGCCTAGGAGTTAACCTGGATCCCAAATTAACCTGGCCATATTGCTTGTACTCGGCCCAATAGTTTTTTTTAACAGTTTTTTAAAAGGCATAGGCGTAAGGCGAGACATTTTACATATGTCTCAGGAGGCGTAAGCCCCGAGGCATGGGGAGTAAGCCCCATATGTATTTAGTTTTTAATATTTTATAAAATAATATAATGATAGTAAATATTTATAAACAGGTAAAATTGCATAAATATTGAAGAAAACTATATATATGTGTGGTCCATCCCCACAAAAAACTAATCAAAACAATCTATTATACGTTACTTACAAGCACAAGTAATTTGAGTCAAAGAATAAAATTTTCTATATGGAGGAACAAAAAGGATGATTAACCTGTAATTTGAACTTTGAATTTGTTGTTATGAAGAAGAATGTAGTTCTCTTTGTATTTGTAAAAAAAATTAAATATTTGTTGCTTTTAGGAGATATTAGCAGACTAGCGGGCAAGATAAAAAATTGAAAAAATCATGAATTGGGGCTTAAATCAATAAAAAAGGTCTTTACTTTTAAATTTAATATTTTTGAGTTCCTTTTTAAACCTTTTGAGTAATTACCAAACTGATTTTTGAGAATTTGGGTATTATATGAAGGACTAATTCAACAAATTTTGTTTTAATTTGAAAAAGTCTCTGGGGCTTACTCCTTACTAAAAAAAGCGCCCCGAACGCCCAGGCGTACGCCCCAAATTGCGGGGCGTACGCCCCAAATTACGGAGCGTACGCCTCTTGAGACTTTCGCCCCACACCATCGCCTCGGGGCGATTTTGGTACGCCTCGCCCCAGAAACGCCTTTTAAAATAGAGCTTTTCAGCGGAATAGTTACTTGTGTAAGATTAGGCTGGTGCCGGTTCATAACATAATCCCATATCGAGTCACGCGAGTTC